GGCCAACCCACGCAGGAAGTGAGTTTCCCTTTTGCCTGCTACAGAATTGGGAGCGCAACTCCAGCACCCCCGGTTTCCACAGCCCCCAAACCACCCCCAAAGGAAATTGGGTTGTATACAACTCGGGTACTACACTTCCATTCTTACCCGGAGTCCCTAAAAAGACGGGGGCCGGGTCTTTGGCAAGTGGGAGCCACCCCTTCATCCTTTAACGGTGTTTCTAGGTTTTTTACAACCCAGCGGGAAGTCGTTTCTATTACAAGATGTGGAAAGATGGAAACCAGGAACCTCAAAACATTGCTCCGATGGATGAAGACGGCACTGGGGAAGTGTGTGTGTGTGTGTGTGTGTGTGCGTGCGCGCGCACAGGGTGGAAGTGGCATCAAAGTAGCTGATGTGTCCCATGTTGATAGGTTGCCCGCCAAGGCTCAAAAGCAACGGGCACTCGCCTCAAACTCCCGTCGCAAGAGCAGTTCAACGGCAGTTGCTTCAAGCAGCAGGGATGGTCCAACTTTTGGTGACAAGGTCTTATGTTGATACTTGTTGCTGTTGTGCTGGGCCGGTATATGCATGAAGGGTATATGATATGAGTACTGATATGGTGGTCAATTAGCGTCATCAAGTTACGTGCAAACTACAAGCGTAATTACAGCTTTCTTAATTCAACTTAGGCCCGGCGTTGAGCTGCCACTTGTTTCTACTGGTGAAAGTTGCACATTAAAAGGCTCATGTCGCAGATGTTGCTTAGTAAGGCAGCAAGTCATGGACTGTTTCGTTGCCACAGATGTCAATGCACCATTTTACAAGCAGTTGCCGTTGTTGGATGTTGACGTTGACGTTGACGATGATGTTTGGTGGTGCTGGTGCTGGTGCTGGGGCTGGCGTCGGCAGCGGGGGTGGTGGTGTTGTGGTTGTATATTGTTTTTATTCTTTGTGGGCTTGCGTGGGTTGGCCGTTTGTTTGTGTAATTGGTTCATCGGTTGCTTGTTTTCTGTCTTGGTCGCTTGCAGTCTTGGTCTCTTGCTTTCTTGGTTGCTTGGTTGGTTGGTTGCTTGGTTGGTTGTTTGGTTGGTTGCTTGATTGGTTGCTTGGTTGGTTGCTTGGTTTGGTGCTTGGTTTTGTTTGCTGGTTGCTTGGTTGCTTGCTTGTTTGCTTGATGGTTGGTTGGTTGTTGGTCCGCCCGGTTGCTTGGTTTGTTTACGCACCCGCCCAAGGACTAGCTTTTGCTGTTTGAGGCTTTTGTTGTGTTGTCCTGGGCCGTACTGCAGAGTGCGGTTTGTTCGACAGAAGCAGTGTGTGCCTGTTCTTCTGCATGCGGATGATCCAGGCAAAATGGCCCTGGACCCTCAGAACGCCTTGCCGACTTCGGAGCAGGGGCGTCTCATTGACTGCAGCGGTTTCCTGCGATTGCTCGCTTGGATGCTGGATTGCACCTTGGCCGCGGCCATGGAGCCTCATGGTGCGGCATCTCTGCGGGCTTGCATTTGTTTTGGAATCAGTTGGTAATCCAAGCCATGACAACTGCAATCTTCATTCTGGCTGTTCATTGATGGCGGCACAGGATAGTGTCTCTTGTCTCAGGGAACTTTTGCAGCGAGCTGGCATCGGATCAAACTCACCTCAGCCTCGATCACGGTTCTGTGGGTCATTTATCATGCTTTCCGCAAAGAAACATGCGGGCATTCTCATGCACGGCTGTGTCAAGTGCGCCTGTGCTCGAGCCGAGGCAACTTCGCGCTGATCAGGGAGAGGTGTGAGGAGCTAGTAGCTAACCAGTCCACGCCTGAGGTGCTTTGACTGGGTCCACGAAGTGGCACTCCAAAGAAACATCACGCGATGTAACAGTGGTGTTTAGGAACATCCTCAAAGCCAGTTACTTCTAAGAACCCCCCCCCAATGACTCCAGAGCCGCCACGGGCCGCTTTTCTGGGATCGACCTAGTGTCGATCTCGCGCCGGCAACTCAACTAGCAGGGAGTCCATGAAACTTGCCTTACAGGAAGCCACCCATGTTTGGAGTCTCAACACCCGCGGGCCCGTCGTTCTGAACCAAAATGGTATTTCCTATGTTTGACTCAGTGCTGGGACATGTGGGGTCTGGAGAGAAATATTGATACATGGGGTGCATTACTTAATTAGGGGAAGGTATTTCTTGCATGCATTTGATCTGAGTTCATTTGATCCGCAACGTTTGTGGAAAACATTTGGTCGGATACAGTTGGTACAAGTGAGCAGGAGTTCTCGACGAAAAGGAAGGGACTCTTTGACAAACAAGGAAGGCTTTCGATTACTTGCATCGCAAACCGCAAGCTATGGAAGGGGGTGGGGTAGCCCACAGGGACCCTTCCCCGATTTTCCCGGGGCCGCAAGGCCAGACATGCATTGGGAGGTTGTATGATGTGTTAAAGCAGCAGGCCCCTCCCATCAAACATGGCGGCCTTCCTTGTGGCTTGCCATTAAACCTGAAACAAAGACCACCAAGAAAACACACCTACAGTATGGCATGATTCATGGCTTGCCCCTGGACCTGCGTCGCAAAGAAGACGCCTTCGCATGTAGCGATGTTTGCCACCGGCGGTGTGCAGAGATGCGTGCAACCCGAGTGTGAAGACTCCGGAGAGCTGGCGGAGCAGTCGACTCACTGCGGTTTCTGCTCCATGAGCCATGTACCATCTATAATCTTCGAGGCCGCTGCTCCGTGACTAGGCCTTTGAAGCTTCCTTAGGTCGCAAAGCGACCGGAACTTGAGATGCGCCAGCCAAGGCATGGATTTCAATCGCAGACGGGGAACGTTACAGATCCGGATTCTATTGCAACCCTGGATGAATGGGCCTGAACTTTGATATTAGCTCCAACCGCTTGAAGGGGGCAATCAGGCAATCTGTTTCTCTATCAATCAGCCAGGGGTCCTGTTGCATCAAAGAAATTCCCGTTGCAGGTTGTCCTGACGCATGGGAGATGTCAATGAGAGGCAATCTCAGTCATCCGAGTGGAATACACATGTTGACCCTGTCTTTTGATTGTTGGTCCGTGTAAAGCCAGGATCCCGAAGAGTGAGCCTGTGATTTTCGAGTCATTGCAGTGGTTGTTGTGTGCAGGTCGGCGCACATTGACACCTTGAAGTTGGCTGCACAACACGTCGCTTTTTGCTACCCCTGCTCGCTTTTTGGGCCCGTGCACCGACGCGTTAACGGGGTTGCGGCTCAAAGTTAGGCACCCCATCCAGGTGTACCTTTCAGAACATCCAAAGGAGGTGCCGGGGTGCCCATTTTGAGACACACCTGCTTGCAGTTTGGGGAAAACTAAGCTAACAATGATGGCGGATGCTTTGTCGGTGAATCCTCTATGTAGTTCTGCACCAATACGATATACATATACATACATATACACACATACACATATATATGTATGTGTATATGTCTGGTTTTTATGTATACAACTCTACATACGTATATCTGCATAAGACATAGAATCTGCAAGAGCCCTTTGCAGGAAAAGTCAAGGGCTCTAACAGGTGTAGGAACCCATTCTGCTGGACAAACAAGAGTCACCAAGCACACGAGCTGCAATAGACTTACTTGCAGAGCACCTGGTCATGGTACGTCTTGGAGTGATCTTTACCGCCTCAAAAATAGACTTCGGGCTCCCGCAAGCTTACCCGGTACGAAATAGATGCACTGCCGCCATTTCGCTGGCGCATCGGAGTTCTTTGAGGCTGTGCAGAGGTTGCCACTCGCGAAGCGAGTCCCGTGAGGCTAATGACGGTGCCCAAAGCCTGCGCCGAAAAGCAGCGAGCTGCGTGGCTTCGGGACCCTGAAGTGTCACAGGGTTCAGGGCAAAAAGGATACGTACCACCACAGCATGTTGTTTCTCTTGAAGCAGCCTGTTGCGATTAAATGGTGGAAGGCGCGCATGCTGGCTGAAATGTGTACCGTTCTTGCCTTGCTTTGTTGAGGCCTGTTGCAGGATGTTTTGATTTAGTTTAAGGCGGACCACTATAGCGCCCTGCAGATCAACAAGATGCTATATATCCGCGTAGAAGGCGGCTCTCGCAGCCCGTTACACAAGCAGATCCCAAGGTTAGGTTCAACTGGCCGGTTTCCAATTCAGTCTTCCGCACCTTCAAAGTCTTCACCGGGGGTGCATTCCGCCGCCCAGTGCCCAATTTGGTTGAGATAATCAAGCATGCTTTGTCAGACTCTGCCAGTACAGGAGTCGTTTACGCATTTGCATCAGGACGTGCCCATACTCCTAGACAAGTTGACCGGTCTCTCAGAAGGAAACGATAAGCAGATTGGCGGTTAATAAGCAGGTCAACGTGATGTATGGGCATAAGTACTTACACATCGAGGTGTTCTGCAAGTCATCCAGCAAACATAGCACCTGTGGTAGGGCATTTGGAACATCAATTTGCTCCGAAGGAACTTCTGTCGAGTGCCATGTTGCCATGTTAGTGAGCGGAGGGCAGTTGTTTGGAACTTGCAAAGCTGACAAGCGGGCAACCAGCTCAAGCTTTGAGTACTCAGGTGTGTTGCCTTGAACTGTTGGGCTTCAAAGGGAGACCAAACGGAACAACTCCCCATTTGGGAGGTTCCCCGCATAATTTGAGCCCACCACAAGTTGTCTACTGGAACGAACCTGAAGAGTTGGTGTGCATCCCTATCATTTCTTGCCACGCTCTTCAAGTCTCACGCTCGCGGCCTGATTCAGCAGAGGCATTCCTTGAGCAAGCCCAAGGAGGAGGTGAATGGTTTTATGTATTTGCGCAATGTGTTATTGCGTTTGTGTATATATTATATGTACGTATACATTAAAACATCATTATGTATGTATATATGTATATATGTATTTTGTTTTCTCGTTTGCTTGCTTGCTTGCTTGTTTGTTTGTTTGTTTGTTTGTTTGTGTGCGCTAGCGTTCTGTTTTTTGCTTGCATTCGTGTTGTGCGCTGTGTCCCCCAGCATCGTTTGAGTCTCAATGACGCGCCTTGGGCGCGCTCAGGTACAAGCTGGCAGTGCTGCGCTCCGCACCTTTGCAGTGTCAGGGGCTGGGTGATGCGGTACCCTTCCAAAAGCGGCCTGTGAACTTCCATGTTTGCCTGGCGAGTGGCCATCATCGTCTGCCACCCTCTGAAGAGGTCCCTCTCCCCCAAAGGAGTCGTCATGTGAACCCTCCATGGGTCCAGCTATGTTTTACGTGCGGAATGCTTTTTTTGACCTGGATTCGAAAAACCTAGCGGACGAAAGGGCGATGTTTCCCACAAAGCGATCAGGACACCCTCCAAATGGGTTGCGTCCCCTTCTCAATCTTGGGTCACTGTCACCAGCCGGAGTTTCTTTCAAGCTTTGAGCCTCAGGCGTTTCTCCTAACTAGTTTTCTGCCCATGGACTCTTTGCTTTTCTTCTTGCCTTGGGTGGCTTCCCTGGGAATTGGTTGGGCGCGGAAGATTTGCTGGCGAGAAGGCGCAAAGGCCTTGAAGGCTTTGAGGGTTCAGGCTGAGCACCTCAAAATGGCCCACTGGGCGGACTTTGGTATGGTCACGCAGTGGCCCAACAGCAGAGGGGTCACCAAGGAACAGCAGAGCCTGATAGAGCCTGCCTCATTCGGGAAAAGTTGTTGGGGACGAGTGGTTTCACCTGCAAGTTTAAGCGACCTCACCTTCTCAACCATCCTTGCCACGAGGGCCGCTTGCTGAACAGATCTCCGGACTCCAGGTTTCAGATTTGCGCTGTATTAAACTTTACTCAGACGCCGGGTGCCTGCAAACTTACCAATGTCCAGTAGCAGTGGCACTGCCCCAAGGTGGAAGCAGGAGGTCTTGGAGCTTTCAGCCTCTCCGGGCTTGATTGACACAAGCTCGGAGGAACAAACTGGGATCATCAAGCTTGTGTTCGATGCCAAAGCTGTGGATCTAGCGGTTCCAAAAGCGAAACAATAAAATACAATCCACTGGTGAGACATCTAAAGCCCTGCTTGGAGATGAGACATGGCTGGACGAAGAAAGAGTTGGCTTGCCCCACACGCTCGATTTGCTTTTGACTTCCCTACTTAGGCTCCATTATAATATTGTCTCATGGTAGCGCACTCGCCATACCGATGTGTGAGCAGTCGAGGAGAGGCCCAGATCGACAGGTTTTGAGCTACACATACTGTTGTATTCTGAAATGAGAGGCGCCATCCAGCATTCACACGCATCGTCGGCTTCATATGGACGCAAAGAGTTCTGAATTTGGGAAGTCGACATACTCGACATATTGTTGTTTTTGCCGGGGGGCTTAAGCACATGGAAGTGATGCGTGTAAAAGAAGCATACCTTTGCAACAGCTTTATTGTTTGCAGCTGCTCAGGAACCAAAAACCTTTTAGAAGCAGAACCAAACATTGATTTCTGAGACGACCGAGGCCAGCGTCAGTTGGGCCACATACGGTGCCCCTTTCAGATGACCGTGTGATTGAGATGGCCCCTTTGACGGAGGGTTCAGGCCCCTTTGACGGAGGATTCAATGAAGCGGATTATTGACAAAGTGATTCTTGGGTGGATGTTTGGGAACCCCCTATTTTGCAGGGCACTTTCGACCATCTCCATTTGCTGCTTCTCCTAGGTAAAGAGGACTGCTATGGCACCGGTTTTCCCGGTGGACTTTGCGGACAACATGGTGGGGGATATCATGCCGCTCGCTATGCCATCCACAAATGGTTTGCACACACAAACGATTGCAAGTGCACCTGGAGGAAAGCAAAGCTCGGCCTTAGAAGCTACTCTTCTTAGGGGATCCCTGATTTTGCTGTTGCTCAGTTTTGCGTGTACTCTTTGTACAGAACATGATGCCACCTGCATTCTGAAGGGTGTTGGTGTGGGGCTTGGACCTTAGGCTTCAATCGCAAGCCGCTCAAGATATTCTTCATGTCGCACTTCAGGAGCATGACGTATTGGTCACCCATGCACGTTCAACCCTGCGTGAAGGCTCCATCCGCAAGACGTTTGGAAGAGTATATGATATCTGAGATCTGAGATCTGGCTGTTTCCAAGCTTGAAGCTTGGAAGGCGGCTTTCACCTGACAAGATAATTTCCCTCACCCACCGGACTTGCTTCTTGGTCACTGGCGATTGTGGCTTGCTTCTTAACGGCGCTTGCATTGGTGTTTTTTGTGTTTCCTCTTCTGGCACTGTCGCATACCGCGATGTTCGTTCTACTGCCCAAGTGATCAACACGTCATGCGCAACGTCAGACTTCGGGCGTGCCCTTTTCAGACTCTGTGCGTTGTTTCTCCAATAAGTAGCTTCCAAAGTAGTGGGGCCGGCTGCCTGCTGCGTTTTTGACGCGCGAACTCTTTGAGCCCCGCAGATGTGTCCCGCGTTGCCTGTGGCCAAGGACCAGCATCGCGAAGCCCCTGGAGGAACGGATCGCTCAGTTGGGCTGACAAAAATATTTGTGTGTGCGTGGGAGTTTGGACTGCGGGGGGGAAGCCCTTTTGGTTGCCATCAAAAAAGCAGCAGCGAGCTTCCGATTCGCAACCATGAGGGTAACAGGCAGACCTTGAATGCTGAAAGCTTTGCGTCTTACGAAACTTATACTGTAACGTATGCAATGCGACGTAGAACCTATGTTGTAAAGTTCGTAGCCCAAGTTATGAGTTGCAATAGTCGCATAACCGAGCAGAACTCGGCGGGCCCACTAAAGAATAGCCCAAATCCAGGCCACCAGCCCCAAATTAGACGTGCAATCGGTGTCATCGTCGCTTGCAATCGGTCTCTCGGTGCATCCGTGCGTGCAATCGCCGTATCGGGGCGTATCGGTGCTTGCAATCAGTGCAATCCCCTCAGCAAGAGGAATGCCTGACAGACAGCAAGCAAAGGGCAGCTGCTCCCAATAACGCTTACCGGGACTCATCCGCCATGGCTGAACTGTTGGTCGGTTTTCCCGCGGGCCTGGGCAGATACTTCTTTTAGCAGAGTTATCTGTTCGGCGTGACGTGCTGTTCCTGTGTGGCGGAAGCATCAGGGCGACCCCACGTTTGATGGATCACAGCCGCTGCTTTGGGTACAGTTGCTGGTTGGGGCTGCTAAGGATGCTTCCATTCTGCGCTAATTTCTGCCCACCCACTTCCAACATTTCGACTGCGCGAACGCGAGGACGTTCCCGCCGCAATGTGCTACTTGCTGTCACACCATCCCCAGGAGGAGGCGGTGGTGCGAAGATTTGTCACGCCACTTGTTTGATCAGAAGGTCGCACTTGACGGAGGATGAGCATAGATGCCATTCCCGTTTCTGGCTGGGTTCCCCAAAAACCACGGTTAACCCCAAACGCAGGCCCTTCTTCTACGTGTTCGGGCAATGCGCGTCAATGGCGCGCTGCTTGGTTTGCTAACTAGGCGAAAGCAACATCTCCGGCAAAGACAAGACCAGAAACGACATGAAGCAAAAATAGAACCACTAGCATTTGAACCTCCCATGGTTTCGAGAAACATGGGCGCGCTACCATTGCGCCATGGCCCCCTTGAACGAGTTGATGAGCTGAGGACAAAAAAAGTAATTCATACCCCGCTGCTGATGGCAAAACGCAGCGTCCTCGTGCGAATGACAACTTTACAGTGCAAGCTGGTGCCTCTCTCGCATTTACAACGGTTGCTTTTGCAAGTTTACTGGCAGTCTGATTCCTATCGCCCAGGGATTGGGGGTGTTGAAAGCTGACAAAGTGATTGTTATTATTTTCCTGAGTTGACTTTTACGATTGTCCAGCATTTTGGGCCAATGTAATTTTGACATGCCGAGATGCCTACGTACCACCTATTTGACTCTTCCTATTGTCACCCATCTATTTGTTTCATGGTTGGCCAAACCAACTGGCTTTTGGGCTTCAGGTATCCGCGTGTGTCCTGAGTAATTGAGAGAGGGGTGACAAGTTTTGCAATATGCCTGTTCGCTTGAGGGGTTGGCCGGCAATATCATACGTATAGCTCGGGCAAAATATGGCGACCTCGCAAAGAGGTTGACCTCGTGAAGGTTCCTTTTCTGCAGCCTTAAGGTCCCATGTCTTTGAGACTGCTTGTGTCACTTGCTCAGGAATGGGGACAATTGCAGCGCCCCAGCTGCAAATATGCTTTGCCCGAAGCACTGCATTGGGGAGGCTCAACGCATCCCAGTCACGCACTTTCTCCATGTGTTTTCGGCGAATAATCTTGAAAGGCCACCTGCAAACAGCGTCTTTTGCTAGTTTTAGCCGGTGAGACTATGCACAGACGTTTTGGGCACCGCCAGGACGCAACTACACACGCATGAGGTTTGCGCAATGGATATGTGCACATGTTGGGTAGGGAAGCTCCTTAGTGGCTGTGAGGACCGAGTGGCGCCACTGGCAACCGAAAGTGTGCCGGGCATGTCTCCAAATGGAGAACCCTGGTTTTGTGTGCTTGAACAGGGGACCAACAGGAAACACCGGCACCAGGGTCTCAAAAAATGGGACGCCTATTTGCATTACCCATGTGAGTGTCGCGTCCCGCTTCTTGCGACCGTTCATCTCAATGCAGGCGAAGAGCGGAATGGCTGCTTCCAAAAAGAAGCGTCACCGTTGCCTGCCAACGCTGGGCACACTAGGGGTTTACCAAGATTCCCTTCCTTGATTCGGGCATTGCTAACACGTCAGGACATCACTCCGCACCTAGCTCTCGTCCCCCCAATTCCAGTCCCTGGGCCGAGCCTGTTTCGGGACCGACCTTGAAACTGTCAAGCTCCATTTGTCGGTCTGGCGTACACTGCGCTCCCAACATTGTAGCTGAGCATGGCTACCAGAGGGTGGCATAGACATGCACGTCGGGCTCAGGCGACGCAACGCATAGCTGCTTGCCTGCATACATGTTTCTGACAGCGCTGCAAAGGGAGAGCAGAACGGAGTCAGGTTGCAGGCTCTGTGTGTATGTGTGTTTGTTTGTTTGTTTGTTTGTTTGTTTGTTTGTTTGTTTGTTTGTTTGTTTGTGTGTGTGTGTCTCTGTGTCTCTGTGTCTCTGTGTCTCTGTGTCTCTGTGTCTCTGTGTCTCTGTGTCTCTGTGTCTTTGTGTCTGTGTTTGTGTGTGTGCGTGGGTTGGTGTTTGTGTGTGTGTGTGTGTGCACCTGCGAGCGTGCGTTCGTTTGACTCTCTGTGTGTGTGTGTGTGTGATGTGTGTTGTGTTTGTGTGTTTTGGAGGGTGCTGGTTTTTGAGGTGGTTTGAAAATGAAGTTCGAGGGAACCAGCCCACTTGGCGAGAGTTCTTTTTACACACGCCTACGAGAATCGATCAATGCTGGGGAAACCTAACTTCAAGCGTTTCCAGTAGACTTGTCTCATGTCCATTGGGCCACCGATGTTACCCGGAAGCAGAGGCTTTGTGGTGCCAATGCTGGCCGGGCTGCCATTTTTCTTTCGCGCCAACCAGTGCGTGCGGCGGTACCGGGACACCAAGGACTGAACTTGGGTTGCCTTTCCAGTGGCACCCCTTTTCCGTTTTTCTTCCACCCTGAGAATGGTCAACCCAAAAAATGGTTCTTGTACACCCCGCCTTGGCCACTGCGACCCGTTTGGGCGAAGGTTGTCCCAAACACTTGCTGATGTTCTCAGGATGCGTCTCACCTGCAAAATCCCCTTTATCGGTCTTCATTGCTTCCAAGACTTGCACGTCAGTTCTCGCCGCAAAAGCCTCGGATTGTTACAAGTGGGGTTTTCGGACAAGTGAAGTGTGCATATCCAAGTCCAAGCCCTTAGCAACAGGGTCAGCTGGGTACAGACCTGACGTTCCAGGCTAAGGCCAAAGCCTCCTGAAAGGGAATCAGAGTCAGGGTCTCCATGGCATGTGCGCTGAGTTTGCCTGAACGCTCGCACAGGAGAGCAGACATTTGTGGCATCTCGGCAAGTTTGGCCGGCAGTTTGATTGGAGATCCTGGATTTCATGTTGCGCTGCGCTGCCCCGCGTTCAATCAAGAGGCTAGACAGGGTCACCATCGTTCACAACGGTTTGTGCGGATTCATCGGCTTTTGTGGGCCGATTCAAGCATTATACTGAAGCCTTGTTTTTCATTCCGCTGTTTGGTCTGTTCGAAATGGACACCCAAATTAAAACACCAGGATTGGGTTCACATGTTGCCACTGCATGGAAAGACGGAGCAATGGCTCTTTGCTGCGCCTCTTGTACGTCGTGTCTCTCCCCATGCTTCTGGGCAAGTATCTCAAAGGAGGCCAAGAGGCTTAAGAGCAACATGTTGTGGCTTATTTGCTGCACTGTGATGCCAAGGGAACGCCAAGAGAAGGATGGCCGACTTCCGTATCACAGGGTTTTGTTTTGGTTTTTTTCCCGCAAGCTGAGGAACCTTGGCAAGTACCTTTGTAGCTTGCTGGTGGTGATTGTCTCCCGACTGGACAACACCATTCTCTTGATCACGGCCGCTTGCCTGTAAGCAGTTTTTGTTGCTTTATTCGGTTCGGCACTTGTGCCGTGTTTCACAAGCAGGCAAGCGAGCGAGTATTTTTTCCGGTGTCTTCACTCTTGCAGCCTTTCTTTTCGAGCAGGCAAGGACGAGCACAAGCAGACGAGCTACCAAGCCTGAACTCAATCCCAGCCGGAACGCTTGCTAAACTACTCAAAAGCTTCACAGGCACCCAGCTACGCCAACATTAGACCACCAAACTAAGCCTCGACTGCCCTAGATGTGAGATAAGGTGACCCATGCTAAACCAAACAAGCCAACACCTATCCTCAAACTAGCATTGAACAAACCAACACCAGCAGCTGGCCCCCAGCTCATGTAGTCCAATCCTGAGCCAACTTTGACACCCCAAATGCTATCCTAAGCACAATCTTGGGAAGCCGTAGGCCCAGGCCAAACAAACCTTACACCAACACTAATTTCAACACTTATGCGGTTGCTAAAGAAAACTGTTTTTGTGAACCTGGCCAGAACGCGCCTGGGTGCGCGGCATGCCAGGATGCAGAGTGAGCTGGCATTCGTATTTGTTTTACTTGAGACTCCTGCTGTATGGTTCGGAGCATGTTGTGTGCAAATCTAGGAGCGTGTTAGACTTGTTGACCTACAGCAGCAATGCTTGTAAGATTCAGGTGAGTTTGAAGCATGCGGCGCGCTTAGCACCTTCACCGAATTTGAGGAATCCACAACGTCTCCCGAACAGAAACAGCGAGGGCATGGATACGTATTGACTTTGGCATAGCCTCCGTACTTACCACCCAGTCAGTTCCTGTGGATCCCAGTGACCACTAGGCCACCAGCCACTTCCCTACTGCACGCAAGTGGAACTGGGAGTGCTGTTGGCGTCCTCTTGGAGCCACTGGTTGGATGCGGATTCTCTTGGTCCTGCTGCTCTCGGAATTCGCCGGTTGGCGCTTGGTGCGCGAGCCCTGGGTCTCAGCCA